TTAATATAAAAAAATTATAAAGATTAGTTAAAATTTGAATGATTTTTATTAGAAGTAATTATTAATTTTTATATTGAGATACAAATCTTTTTGCACTGACCCATATAGCTTGAAAATTTCAATTTTTTATATGTAAAGCATAGAAAAATTTTTTTACAATTAAAATGGTCTTTGTACTTTAGGTCATTCACAGCTGGAAATTATATATCTGAAAATATAATTCATGAGCTTTAAAATGATATAAAATTTAAACTTTTTTGTTCAACTTTGAAACAAAAAAACTTTATTGCTAATAATAAATAAATATAAATGTTAATAATAAGTAAATTTAGATGTTAACACGTAAATATATATATATATATATATATATAAATATAATGTAAATAATATTAATTTTTCCTAGTTTTAATATAAAGTTTTATATCTACAGGTCGCTTTGCAGTAGCATAAACATACTTTGGGCTAGAATTTTTATCAGTTGATTCAATATCAAATGTACAAACAAGTTTAACTAAGAAAGTTTTCATTTGTACTATGGCCCATGCACGACCAGGACATATGCGTACACCATTTCCAAACGGTAAATATGTATATTTGACCATCGATTCTTTATCAACCAAGAATCTATCAGGATTGAAGTTTTCGGAATCTTTAAAGTATTTAGGATTATTACTTAAAGCTTTTAAATCTGTATAAACTGTTGTATCAGCTTTAATTGTAAGCCCATCAAATTCAACATCTTCGATTGCGGTCCGAGGTATCGTTTGTACTGTGGGGAAAATACGAATTCCCTCATAAATTACAGCTTCAATATACTTAAGTTTTTCATAAGATTCAAATGTAAGATCAGGATTATCAAGTGTGCCATAAACATTTAATATTTCCTCTCTCATTTTCAAGTAAACATCTCGATGTTTGGCGATATAAAAACCAATGAATGATAAAGTATTTGCTGTAGTATCCAATCCACCGGTAAACACTTCACGTATTATTGAACTTATTTCTTCATCTGTTAAGGACCTATCAAGTTTACCAACTGCGATTTTTCCCGAATCTCTTTCTGTATTCGTTGTAAGTAATAAAGTTAAAATATTTGGTTCGAGTGGTTGATCCAAGGGTGTATTTTTGATCTCGTTTCTTCTTTCAGCGACAATTTTTTCCAATTCATTATTTATCCAATCTTTATTATCCAAGAATTTTTTATTCAAGGCTTTAATTCCGGGAAAATTTCTTCGGAAGAATGTTGGAAGTAGCATCATAAAAATCATAGATTCGTTATATGTATGAATCGCTTGAATAAGTTTTACGCCATTTTCCCAAGTTCCCTGCATTCTGGATTTTTTTCCATTACCGTGCAAACTATTAAATAATTCCGCTGTTGCGGACATTTTTTTTCCTGTCGCAGTTTTAACAACATTATCAGCTCCTAAAGCATCCATCCAGTCGGAAAGTTCGACTTGCATTCCTTCTTTTTCCATGATTTTCCAATATTCGAACATTTCATTAATAACTTTGCTTGATAATTTAATCGATTCACGTAGGAATGATGGTGAAGAGATAGATGGAACTAAAAGTTTTCTATTGAGAGACCAACTTTCGATATTACGATTGAGCACCATTCCTTTTGTGCCCAATCCAAGTTCGTCAATACCTACGGAATATGCATTACGCATAATAAATTTTGTATTTTTAAGCGACAAAGGTCCCCAAACCTTTTCAACTAAATCGGGTCTACTAATTACAATGTTACGTTTATTTCCCATATAAAACTCATAAAAATCTCCATATTTTTTCTGAAATCTCTCTGTCGCAGCTGGAAAATCCGCACCGATTTGATGTATATTTCCAATAAGTGGTAAGGGAAATGGACCGGGAACTTTTGATGTTCGATTAAAATAACTGATGTAATAATGTATTACATAAATTACAATCGTTAAAGTAATAATTGAGAAGAAATCATTTTTAACGAGGTTAATTAACTGGGAAGTCGTGTATGCAAACATATTTCAAAGGCGTATGGTTGAATCAGTTTTCATACTCTTTTTAAATATATAAAGCGACAGATTCATTTTTATTTGTTAAAAACTCAAGTTCATTGGTTAGGATTAATGTTCCACCAAGGCATTTTTAAGGAGTTTCCTTGGCATGCTAGACACGGAATGTTGATGGATGAGCCGAAAATTTCCTGGATATCTATAAGAATATTAAAGGCGAGGGTTTCAATATAAAGAATGTAGTTCCTAACGTAACTTCCACTTTTGTGATATGGATCTAAAACAAAGTTAGCATACAAGCCGAAATGAAATTTCGGAATTGCGCATCTCGGATCTATGAACCCAAATGAAACTAATATTAACATATTAATGTCTTCGAAACATCATGTGTCGATCATCTAATTCTAATTCTCGTGATTTCTTCATTGGTTTTCACCAGATTTTGAATTATTATTCACATCGCTATTGTTCATTTTCAATGCAAGAAACGAAATAAACGATAATGTTAACATATGCGATGCTACTTTTCGTTATCTTCGTTTTGAACAAAAGGTGAATGTTGAACAAAAAGCATAGTAGGTAAATTTATTTTATGCACTTTTTTATTTCGTTGAAAATAATATTCGCAAAACAAAAACCGACATAGAAAGGGGTAGAACTTATCAATAATTAATTTTGATAAATTTGTTTATAAAAGGTTCACTTAATCACCGATTGTTCATTATTATTTTATTACAGAAAAAAATAGCGATAATGTTATACGTAACAGAAAAATGTTAAATTCTCACATTCCCAACTGAGTGAGACAGTGAGCACTTTTACAGCAAAAATGCCTAATAACGGTTATACATGTTCAATACCCACAGAAAGTATCGCCCGATTTGAAAGTATATAGTAAAATATATATAAAAGTTTTTTTCATGATTTTATAATTAAAACGGTTCTTGCGTCTTAAGACGTCAGCAGTTAGGAATCATTTTTTGAGAACTACAACTTTAAAAATGGTAAAAGAAATATGAATTTTTGAAATTCGATTTTTGTGTAAGCATGGGAAAAATTTTTTTCCTTTACAATTTAAATGGTCTTTGCACTTTAAGTCGCCCGCAGCTGGGAATCATATATCTAAAAATATAATATTCATGAGCTTTAAATGATATAAAATTTAGAAATAATTACTAGAAAAAACGTGAACATGTATATAGCTTGAAAATTTTCATTCCTTATAGTGTTTTTATTGTTACCTCATTATCGCGTTGCCAAAAGATGCAAGCATATACATGTATCCACCTTGTGTTTGCGGTTAAAACCATTTCAAAGCAAAATATATTTCTCTGCGTTAATTCTAAATCCTTTTGAAAATTCCAAATGTCCCGTTACAAAAATAAATAAACAGATAAAAGAACCGCAAAGTTCTTCAGGTAGCTCCTCTCAACCTTCGAGAAATTCTGTCTTTCGTTGTGAGAATACGAATCTCCAATGAGTGGATTTCTTTTTACAATTTGGAAGAATGTTTTCTTTTTTAAACTTAATAACGCAATCGAGCAATTATTACAAAACACGAATAATAATATTGATGTTGAAGACGGAGAAAACGTCCGAAATGGCAGATATATAATATATATACGTAGCACTACTGAAACAGACAAAGTTTGTTACAAATTCAAGAACATCTTAACGTATCTATATCAAGACGGACATTGTTTTATAATTGTAAAAATTTGATACATGTATCTTATTTTATTTTCAGTTTAAAGGTCGATTACATGTATTTAACATCGTTATTATGGCGCAGGATCTTCAACCTGATAGTCGTCAAGCAAGAGAATGGTGTTCGTAACAATAGCTATATAAAACTGATTATTGTCCTTTGTTCCAAAGGAGGACCTATTCGAATTTTAATATTTGAATTGGGACTTTTTCAGCGAAAGGTCAAGATTTTCTTGATGGTACATGTATGGTCTATTCTGCTCTCATGAAAGTAGGCTATTTATAATTCGAAATTTTCACATCATGGTCATGTGATCGATTCCATAAATCAAAGAGATAAATATAAAAATTTTTCTTTTATGATCATTGTGAGTCCGGAACGATAATTCTTTTAATTGGTTTATTTATAACCAGTCACGTGGCGTGACAACCGTAAATCCCACATGACAATCAATTTTTCACATATCGCAGAATAATATAGTCCTTCGCTTACGCTCCGGACAACATGCTCTTTTAAATATTGAGTAGGAAGCCACAAAATCATCGCGAAACTTGAACAACTTCCCGAGCATGTCATATATCTTTATTTTGGGCGCATCTCAATCTAATATTATCGGTGAAACATCTAACTTTAGAATTTATGATGAATCGCAACCAGATAAACCATTAGATACTTACTAAATTACAGTATATTTGAATCAATCTGAAACGTCATTTTGATATTAATTTTGTGTTTTTTTGATATCAATATTATTTTTATGGTGAATATAGTTTTCGAGAAAAAATTAAATAACAATCTCTGGTTGGTCTTCGTTATGTAACCGTCACGTGCATTTATAGAGAATATTCCAATATCAGATAATTCGGGTTTACTCCCAACATCCCGACAAAGCCAACTTCCAAAATTAGTCAATTTCTGGTTTTTAGGGAATCGACACTAACATTAATGTACAATCCATTTTTTTATAATTAAAAAATACATTATATCAATTAATTTTATATACACACGACATGTATATGCATGTAAGCAAAGGTAATTATGTTTTTGTTATTCGCGTCAATTAATGTGTACAAACATGTAGAACGTGAAAAAATTGGTGGACTTGCTTCGGTGTGTTGCAAAAAAAAATAACGATCTCCATTTAAAATGTGGGATGTTAGGTTGACGGGATGTTAAATTTCGGGAAGTTGGATTATCGAGGATGTTAGGTTGTCGGGAAGTCGGGTTGTCGAGATGTGAAATGTTGGATTGTCGGGAAGATGGGGTGGGGTGGCTCCCGATAATGTACTCATAAAGTTACAGTATCATATCTAATCAAAAAGATTCCTCTTGAATACAGTAAGCAAGAGAATTAAATGCCCATAAAAGGACAATAAATAAAGGTTATATTATATAAGGAAACCTGACAATGAAGATCTAAAAAGGAAAGAGTTGAATGAAAATTCCCGTATTTATTATTACTACAAAAATTAACCTGCCCATAAAAGGACAATAAATAAAGGCTATACTATATAAGTACTATATAAGGAACATTGACAATGAAGATCTAAAAAGGAAAGAGTTGAATGAAAAATTCCCGTGACAATAAACAAAAATTCACCAATAACATTATGTTGTTTGGAGTATTTATAAATACTCTGTAGTTTTCCCAAAAACTTTTAACCTTTATAACGAAACACAATTAAAATTCATTTGACCATTCTTCTTTTCCATAGGGAATGTTGTTTTTCTTCTCTAAACGTTTTAAAACTTTGAAAATCAATTAATTTCCGTACATCTCGTTTTATTAAGCCTGAGATAAATCACGTGATTTTTGTCAGATGCCTAACTTAAGGTTGGAAACTTCACTAATTAGTGAAAAAATTTTAAAAATAAACTAGATGATTGATCCAGTCTGATCGGAATTTTTGGAATTCCGGTTAAAAAAAGAATACATGCAAGTGCATTGTGTATGCATGCTCGGCGCGTCGTTCCACGAAAAAAATCGATGATTCTATCGATACGAAATCCGTTTTTTTCGATTACCCAAACGACTGTTTGAGTGTAAGGGCTATTTAACATGATGATTTAAGTGCAATTTTGCTCTACTCTCTTTTTTCTTTCACTTTAAGAGAGTAGAAGTAGACAGATTCAAAAATTATCTTATCGTTCTTCACATTCTACACAAGGCTTATTTCCGTTCTTATACAATACTCTAACAATTCCTTATTAAATGTTCCCTTGTTCGAAAATTATTTTCTGTCTAAACAAAAAATTATTGAGTGACAAATGCCAAGGAAACCACAATCTACCTCACCATATGCCATAAATTGTATGTTTAGGTTTTTTTCCTCATTATATTCAATTCAGGTTATAATTTATTAGAGATAACTCTAATATTTCTGATTATATTTATTCAGCCAGGAACCAGAGAGCACGCAAAAAAGAAAAAGATGAAAAATTAAAATCAGAATACGATACATTAAAGTCAGAAAACGATCGATTAAAATCAGAAAATGATACATTAAAATCAGAAAACGAAAAGCTGTCGTTTTGTTTGAATACAATTATTCGGTGTAATGCTCGAGTTAATCTTTCTCATATTGTTCCTTCTCTTGAGAATATCAACGTTAACAGCAGCAGCAACAACAGCAACAACAACAACTATCAAATCAATAAAGATGGAGTCTATCCTCCTGCTTTACAAAGTGCTGAATTTCCAAATGGCACCCCCAATGTTGCTGAATTTCCAAATGGCATACCCAATGTTGCTGAATTTCCAAATGAAACCCCCAATATTGCTGAATTTCCAAATGACACCACCAATGTTGCTGAATTTATAAATGGCACCCCCAATATTGCTGAATTTCCAAATGGCACCCTCAACATTGCTGAATTTATAAATGGCACCCCCAATATTGCTGAATTTCCAAATGGCACCCTTAACATTGCTGAATTTCCAAATGGCACCCCCAATATTGCTGAATTTCCAAATGGTGCCCCCAATATTGCTGAATTTCCAAACGGCGCCCCCAATATTGCTGAATTTCCCAATATTGCTGAATTTCCAAATGGCACCCTCAACTTTGCTAAATTTATAAATGGCACCCTCAATATTGCTGAATTTCCAAATGGCACTCTCAACATTGCTGAATTTCCAACTGGCGCCCCCAATATTGCTGAATTTCCAAATGGCACCCCCAATATTGCTGAATTTCCAAATTGCAGAATTTCCAAATGACATCCCCAATATTGCTGAATTTCCAAACGTCACCCCCAATATTTTCAATGACAGCAACTGTCAAATCAATAACGACGGAATTCCTACTCCTCTTGTTTTACAAGGTGCTGGCACCCCCAATATTTTTGACGACAGCAACTGTCAAATCAATAAAGGTGGAGTTTATTTACAAAGTGCTGAATTTCTAAATGGCAACCCCAATATTCTCGACAACAGCAACTGTCAAATCAATAAAGATGGCGTTTATCCTCCTGCTTTACAAGGTGCTGGTACCCCCAATATTTTTGACAACAGCAATTGTCAAATCAATAACATTAACAACAACAGAAAATACCAAATCAGTGACATATATCGATTTCAGTCATGCGATTCTTAATTTATTACGTTCTATTATATAATGATAAATTTTAGATATCGACAAACAATTTTACGCGTTGATTACGTGTTTTTTGTAGTTGCCGAAAATTTTCATCTTTATTTTATAACTTTTAATGATTATTAAATGTATTTGTATCTGAAAAAGTTTTAGCAGGGAATACATAATACATTGGGGTGCGCATAAATAAAATTGAGTTACAAGTCGCATATTTTTTTGGCCAAAATTTTTAATACCGATCAATTCTTTTTGCAATAGTTATAAAGTTACGATATTTTTATTTCATTTTATGAGAAATTAACTTCTTTCTACTCTCTTATTATTACTTCGCTCGTTCGGACAAATCTTTATATCAATTGTAATTTTTGCTTATGACTTTGTTCTTAGGTTGAGGATTTATTAAAAAAAAAGTACATGTACATATATTTTGCACATGTCGAAAATATGATCATATGATTGTTTTAAGTATTAGTTTTAATATTGATAACTAATATAATAACTTTTTTTAATGATTAAAATAATGTATTAGAAACTAAATTTATTAATAATATAGAGAGATAAATTTGATTTTTATTATGTTTATTAATAAATTTAGCCTCTGATACATTACTTTTGACTATTATTATATTTAATAATTTAATATTGATAAAAAATATATATTATTGCTAAAGATCTTTAAAAAAATTCTTGAATTTTATATAATACTAAATAAGTATATTTAGAATTAATTTTCTAAAATAATAATTAAATATCAGTAATATATAGATAATTAATTAATTTATTTCTTGTATATAAGTATTTAATTATTATTATTAGAATAATATCTAAGTTAATATTCTGAATTCTTTCAAGAAAGATAATTTAAAAATTAATCAGTATAATCTTTATTAAAATAATAAATTAATTAATTAGTTATAATTTAAATTTTTTATTAATATTAATAATTAATAATTTTATATAAATATAATATTATAATTCTTGCTCTTTTGATATTATTCATATTATTAATATTAGTTACTTATTCAAATTTTTCTGATTATATAATAGAATATCATGAATATTATCACTAAAAGTCAATATAAAAAATAAGAACTTACTAATTAAATTAGCTAAATTTTTGTGAGTATTAGCTAATTAATTATTTTTTATTATTTTTAATACTAATTTTAATGATAAGACTATTATTATAAATATAATATTTAGAGATATTATAGTTTAAATTTATTCTTTTAAGAAAATTCTATATATTTTATCTAATATTCTAAATATATAAAATTAATATCAATATTAGTTATCTAACTATAATAATTTCTAATATTATTATATAAACTTGATCTTATTATAATTAATATTCTTAAAATTAATATCTTTGATTAAGAAATCTTATACTTTAAGAATAATATAATTTATTTAATTATATAATTATATGAATAAATATATAATATATAATCTTATTTAAAATTATACATTATAAAGATTTAATTAATATCTCTAAAGATAATTATAATAAAAAGATTATTAATAAATATAAGAAATTTATATTATTAATATTATTATTATGAGTTGTTACAAAAAGGTTAATATATAAATATGAAAATTAATAATTACTTCTAATAAAAATTATTCAAATTTTAATTAATCTTTATAATTTTTTTATATTAAATAAAAAATAAGCTAAATTTATTTTTTATATTATTTTAATTATTTTATTATACTTTAATTTAATAATAAATAAAATATTATTTACTAAAAAAACTAAAATAAAATTATTTTATTAATAGTTATAAATAAAGTATGATATGAATAGTTTTAATTTTATAATTTATAATTATTTTATTATTTAAAAATATTTAAATTTGAAATTATTTTATAAAACAGATAGTACTTATTTATAATAAAAAGAAATAAATATTAAATTAATAATAATTCTATTTTAAAATATATATATATATTAAATATAATTAATTAATTTAATTTATATCTTTAGAAAATAATTAATTATAATTTAATAATTAATAATATAATAAATAATAATATAAATAATAATAAAAGAAAATAAATAAAAATATAAAAGAAAAATTAATAAGAAATCTAATTAAAAATATTAATTTATTAAATTAATAATATAAAAATATATAGTAATTATCTATATAATAATATATTAAATCTAATATATTAAATATATAAATAATTATTTATATATTCAGAATAAATTAATCTTTAAAAAAAGTAATACAGAAACTAATTTGTTATACAGATAATACAAAATAAATATTTAAGTTAAAGAGAGATAACTTAATCAAAATTATTATATATTTTTTTATTTAAAATATAATATTTTTATTATATTTAAATATATAATTTCTCAAAAATATTAATCTTTATCATAGTATTTTTCAAGTTTTTAAAAGATTTTTATATTATATTATAAAAAGAATAATCAAGTTATTTAACAAGATATTAGAATTTATAATAATGAATTCTCTTGTCAAGAATATTTTTTATTTCATATTTTTCTTTATTATCTAAAATAATAATAATTAATAATGATTAATATTTATTATATTTATTATCTGAGTTATATTTCTTTAGTAATAATATATATATAATAAAATACTCTTTTTCTTTATTATTATATTATATTAGTATAGCATCTAATTCTAATTTAGAAATATTTATAAAAAAAGTAAATAACTTTATAAAATTTGAATAAATAATAATTAATGATAATATTAAATATTTTTTAAGTAATTCAAAGACTTTTTGTTATTTTTCTATCTATTTAAACTTTTAAATAACTTATAAAATAGAATTATTATTTTAATAAAATCTTTTATGAATCTTTAATAGTAAGAGATTAAATTTATAAATTCTCTTAAAAAAATAATACTGATTAATATTAAAAATTTCTATACTTTTTTTATTTTTGCTAGATCAGAATGAATATTATCTTTTTTAATTATATATTCAAGAAAAGATAACTGATTTTTATCAAATTTATATTTTTTAGACTGGAATTTATTAAAATTTATTTAATATTTTCTATATAAATAAATCAAATACTTATCTCAAGTTTTAAAATATATAATAATATTATTTAAATATATAATTATGAATTTACTGATATATTTCTTAAATATTTTATTTATTAATCTTTAAAAAATAATAGAAGTATTAGTAAGTTTAAATAATATAATATTAAAATAAAATAATTCTTTATTTATAATAAAAATTATCTTTTTTTAATCTTTTAGATATATTTTTACTTATTAAAATTCACTTGTAAGATTTATTATAGTAAAATATTTAGTATTTTTAAATAAGTTAAATAGTTTATCTATATAAAATAATAAATATCAATTCTTTTTAATAACTTTATTTAATTTTTTATAGTCTATATATAATTAAAATTTTCTATTTTTTTTTTATAATTACTATATAAACTAATTAAAAACTTTTTAATAAAGATATTATTTTATTTTTAATATCTTTTAAATCTTTTTTTTAAAAAAATATTTTCTATTAATAATTTATAATAATAAGATTAAAGAATAATTAACTATTCTTCTTTCAAATATATTTTATATTAAAGAATATTAGTTTATTTTAATTGTATAATATCAAAAAAATCTTTATAACTATCTAAAACTTTGTAAAATTATTGTTACTATTCTAAATCTAGATCTAACTTAATTATTATTAAAATAATATTAAGTAATAATTAAAATAGTATTTTTAATTGATTATATGTTTTTTACTTTTTTTATATTAAGAATATTTATATTCTTTTTTATTATGAATAATTATATTATAATCTTTTAATCTTTCTTAATAAATTCTTTTTTTTTCAATAACTTTATTATTAATTTTTATAAAATTATTTTAAATTTTTATTTCTATTATAAGTTACTTATTTTATTTTTTATAAATTATATATAGTAATTAATTAATTAACTCTTTCTTTTTATATTTAAATTCATTATTATTATCAGAAGCTAATTTTTTTAATTCTTTTTTAAAATTAATCAATTTTATTATTAATCTTTATTATATATATAGTAGCAATCAAAAAGAATGTAATACTTGAACTAAATTTTTTAAATATATTTATTTAGGTAAATTTATAATAAAATTTATTTTTAATTAATAAATACAATGTATCAATAGAATTTATTTAATAATTTAAAACCTAATTTATTATTATTAATTTCAATATTAAAATATTATAATATTTTTAAAAAAATTAGTGTTGTATTATTTTTGAATTTTTTTAATAAAGTAACAGATCATCATTTATAGCTATACAAAAATCATAAGAATTATATTTTTAATCAATTACATATTTTTTCATATTTCATGTTGCAATTATTTAGTAAGAAAGAAAAGATATCAAAATGCTATACAACTCCAGATAAGTGAGTCCAAATAATCCTTTCTCTTTAAAAAGACTACTCTACAAGAGAGATAGTAAGAGTCTGCAATATCAGTAACTCTACCATCTCCTATATTAATAAAAGATGGTGAAAAAATCACTCTCTCAATAATATAAGTATTTCTAATTATCTATTTGTCTTGAGCGAATCAATATAAAGAAAAACTATTAATCTAATCATCTTCTATAAAT